TATATAATTATTTTTTCGCTTATTTATAATGCGTCTATTGCAATTTTCACTTTATCCTCTCAAACAGTCCTAAGAACGTTCAGAGTGCGCTACTTCACAGGGGGATTCACCCCCTTGACCCCGCCGGGGTCATACGTAATTCGCATAACGGCTCCCCCCCCCCCTTTCAAAATCCTGGCTACGTCCCTGCCTAGTAGTAATTCAAAACGACAATAGGCTAAAACCAAAACGGCAACACTTCCAGAATGGCATACTGGCCTAGGCTATAGGGTAATTGGCAAAAGGGAATTTTATTTATTTATGGCCTTCAGCGGCGAAAGATCATGTCGGTCGCGATAAGCAACCGCAGTATGGAAGGCCGATGTACAATGTTTTGTTTTTTTTTTTTTTGCTTCAGAGAGACTTAGTAGGCTAATTTGTCATAGAAGTAAAAAAGGGAAAGAACGACGACAACAACAACAACAACAACAACAACAATAATAATAATAATAATAATAATAATAATAATAATAATAATAATAATAGTAATAGTAATAATAATAATAATAATAATAAGAAGAAGAACAAGAAGAAGAAGAAGAGCAACAAGAGCAACAACAATAACAACAATAATAATATAACATACATATTCAAGAATAAAGAGATTGGGGGAAACACAATATATAAAAGAATCAGTGGACATTTGAAAAAGCAAAACTTTAAAATACAGACAAAATGATGCTAAACAATTTATGTTATAAAAGTAAAAACGCGGAAAAATAAACTAATTATGAACATGAAAGTGTACAACGATTAAATACGGAAAATGAGGCTAAGTTGTCATAGAAGTAAATGACGGGAAAGAACGACAACAGCAATAATAATAATAATAATAATAATAATAATAATAATAATAATAATAATAATAATAATAATAATAATAATAATAATAATAATAATAATAATAATAATAATAATAATAATTCAAATTAAACCTACATTGTTTAATTTGCCGTCACTTTTTCTTATTTTAAATGAAAGCTAATAACAAGAAGGTTTTAATTTACGGTACTATATTTTATACTTCTTTGCTAATACAATATACAAAGTATTAAGCAATTCAAATATTGAGTTTTCAATTTTAGTTAATATCGCATATGTAAATAGTCACATCTTCGACCAGGTACGAAGTAAAAAATATTTATTACAATATTGAGTTTTCAATTTAAACAGTCACCTTCGACCAGGTAAGATGTAAAAAAATAGTTAATTATTATCATAAAACCGTAGTTTTACTTAAGTTTAAAGGAGTCTAAAACCACGTGTTTTGTGAACTCGAATTTACACCGTTGCCGCGTTCTCTTGAGATCTGACTGCCATTTCGAATACAAGAAGGCTTCTTACACCTAAGCATATCTCTACAAATCTTGCGAAATTCTGGTAAACCATAGGCATACACAAACGTGTTAATATAGGAATTAGAAAACGCAAGAATAACGGAAAAATGATAAAGATCTGATGACATATCCACATGAAATCCTAGATTAAACCCAAAATAAAGGACTTGGTTTAGTGTCCAGCAGACCGCGTATGCTGTGCTTATGCCAACAAATGTGATCAAAACGCTGCGGAATGCGCCTGAGAATCGATCTGATTTATTAGCACCCGAGTGAAAAGCAGGCCTGTGAAGAAGCTTTAACGCAATAGAAACGTACACAAATGCGTTAACGATCATAACGGAGAAATATATTACGACAACGACTAGTACTCCTGCGACGTTCTGCAGACCACTAATTGGCCAGTGGACCGTGCAGTGTTGGTACTCATCTAAGACGTTGACCAAGGCCCAGTGAAGTTCAATTGTAATTCCTACAACCCAGGGGATCAGCGTGCACCGGCGCGCAATCCTGAACGTAAAGCCGGTGTAGTGTCGGATTGGATGTATGATCGCAAAATAGCGATGTAACGTCATCAAGATCAGGTTGACGGATGATGATATCGCGAAAGCCCAGTGGAAGTAACCAGACGTCCAGAACATGCAAAGTAGCTTGTGAAGCACATTGTCTTCTGCATGTTCGATTTTCGGTAGAAGGTTGTACATTGAAAAAGACACGCTTGTTGAGAGATCGATCAGTGATTGGTTAAATACAAGAATTTTTGTGGTATTTCGTAGAGATTGGACTTTAAAAATGACCAGCATAACTAGTAGATTACCAGTAACCCCTAGCACGCCTATCATGGCGGACAACCCGGTGTACCATGGCTTATACGGCGAAGACATATTCCCGAAGCCGCCGTAATGCTCGTCCTCGTATTCGCTGTTCACTGTATTCATTTTGGATGATCTGAAACAAGAAATAAAAAAAAAATTTAATAAACCATTAAGTTCAATAAAGAAAACTTTCACAATACCCTCCAAAATGGCGCAGATGCTTGGGCTATTATATTGAGGCGCTCAGAAAAAAAGGGTAAGCGCCTCCTGGACCCATCCCGAGGTTCATTGAATAAAAAAACCCTTACTATATTTTTTTCATGTAGGCCTGTTTGGCTCGAAAAGAAGAGTGGTCTTTGGTTGATAAAATAAGGTTGGGACATTTAGAAAAAAAAACCTACGGTATATTTCCACGTCTACATGACTGTGCCAATGTTACGTTACTTTTAATTTCTGGTAATGGCCATTTTTCACGCGCACAGTGAAGATTCGTTCACATGTACGGGAGCAACAACGCTGGTAACTCTACTTGCGTTGGCATATCGTCAACTGCAGCATGATGACTAAACTTCTTTGGTATTGTCAATGATGCGATACCCCTGTCTTGAGCACGCCGAAAACACCTTAAGCTTGTGTCAACCTAGCAAAATAAATCGATGCAAACGCAAACTATTGTCTCATCCCTTATCACAACTCTTTCACGTGGTTCACATTGAAACAGACTGATGGTGACTGGCGTATGGCGTCACCTTGCGTTTGCGTAACGCGGAAATTGCATGCTCTGTGTGAAACCGCCTAAACGCAGCGCAACGGCAGTTGACGTTTTATTCTGATACAGTACCGATACCTAGTGCAATTAGACGCTCATTGTGTAATTTGAAACACTAATGCATAGTTCTTGAAATTTCAACCTTGATTTTAAAATTCTGTGATCAAATACTTTACAAGTCTCGCGTTAATTACACCGGAAGCCATTTATCTGTAGCCGTTATTGTTAGAATGTGACTACTGTAAAATGAACTTTAGAAATTCGATAATTTTTAATAAATTTCTTGTTACCATCTCTAATGACCAGCTCTGGGCACTTTATTATATTTCACCATGCCTTATCAAAGTTCTTAAATCAATTAAATTGACCTCGACTAGGAATGGTAATAGGCCCATATTGATAATAAAAATAAAACTCGTTACCCCGCATATATGCTGCACTCATGCTGCGTAATACTTTCAATAATAATAATAATTTCAATATAATATTACAATATTTCTGTGTTTTTACGTTATTAATATTATCAGCCTATGTGTCGATCTTATTGTTATTGTTGTTATTGTTATTATATTAAATGCTTTGGGTGTACCACGTATTTATGAAAAGAACTGTTATTTTTCTTCTTCTTCTTCTTCTTCTTCTTATTACTATTATTATTATTATTATTATTATTATTATTATTATTTATTATTATTATTATTATTATTGTTGTTGTTATTAATATTATTTTCATTTGTGTTTTTATTATTATTATTGTTGGTATATTTTATTTGACCTTACAGATTAAATACAAATAAAAATAGCCTAAGAGTCTAAATTACCGGTATATGAATTCAGTACCGGTACGCATTATGTCTGTATTGGTATATACACCGATACTTTAGTAGTTTGTTAGCCTAAGGACCTATTTCGAGTTTGCTCTCTTTATGTTTCTTTTCAAAGCGTAACACATAAAGCTGTTATAATTATGGAACCGGAACCCTATTCTACATACAGTAGATATTGCAGTAATCTTCAATTAATGAACAAGGGGAAAAACTTACTTTTTATGTGACCATTAACTAGGTAACTGTTTTCCGAAGATGATATTTCAGTTTTAATGTTTCTGACACTGATATAGACCTATATCGCCAATGTCTTGTCCAAATATTAATCAAACGATGAGATAAAGATGAGCGAAGAATGAATACTTAAATGTGATAGCATTGGTAGGCCTGTTTCATCAATCAACTGGTATTGTAAACTGAAAACAAGGCCGTCCAATCAGAAAATAGCATGGAAGTAACCATGGCGATAAACATCATCTTAAACTCTGTAATAAAATGGTTTATGATTCTTTAAGATAGTTGAATAATTCATGATATTGATAACGTCACCCAATTTAGTTACAAATAAGTTTTTAATTGTCATTAGTGAACCAGGATTTGATTGTTCATTTCGCCCGCAATAATTATTCATAGAGCAAAAGAGAATCACAGATACGGCAGGCCCGAGCCATGGGAGGGTTTTATGGTTCGGGGGTTGAACCACACTTTCAGCAAAATCCCCCAATTCCATCGAAATTCCTGAACGAGTTCTCCACCAACACAGCGAAGGCACTGCAGATTCACCCAGACTCTGAGACGGAATAGGACTGTTTTGCTGTTTGGAACTTATCAATCATATTAGCACCCAATTTATCATTTATTTGTTCACCTTTTTAAAATTGTAGCTTACGATAAGGCCTATAAGCTATAGACTACGGTATCTCATAATAAAAGCTCGTAGATTAATTGACTGTACTCTCGCGATCCCGAACATGGAAACCACATTACAGCGGCTCACAGACATGTTGCAAACACCGATAAAAAATGTATTTATAATATATTTAAGGTTCATTGTTTAAAGAAAAAACGTTCAGATTTGTAATAAGTTTAAAGACCATTTTTATGGCAAAAACCTTAATTTATATTCCATTAATGCCTTTACAAGCAGTCATTCGAGCTGGCGGGGGGGGGGAAGGGAGCGGTTGTTTTTTTTTTGTACTCTAATGAAAGGTTTACATTGAAATTCACAGTTTAATATGCTTTCGACAGTTAGCATTAATTATATATTTTTAACCAGATGATTGAGTATTCATTTGTATTATTATTATTTTATTTAAGACCTGACTAGACCTACACTTTTTAAAATCATGTTTCAAATAGTACGAAGAAGCACCGTACATACATAGATAGGCCTACGTCTTCGTATGCTACCGTACTTCATATATAGGCCTAATTGCATTGTTTTACGATACATTGTGTTGCACAGTGTACCGTATTGATATTGATTATGCGATGATTTTGTTTGTGTTTTGGTGTGATTTTAACAATGCCAATTCGCAAAATTATTTAACTGCACTTTTATAGCATTATTTAAACCCATGAAACAGAAAACTCGCTAGCTTCTGTATTTTATCCTTTATCGTACAAAGTCTAATATAATTTGAACTATGTGAACCATAAAGCTATTGCGCCAGTTTGTGTTTCGATTGCTGTCATGAGCCATCACACGTTATTTAAACAGGGAAAATGAAATAAACGTGAGAACATTTCACAACATTCGCACTAAGTGACACACACAAGTGCGGTTAGAGGCTGGTGAACAATCAGATTAGCTTAAACACGTGTGCGAACCTTGTACTATACTAAATCAATTTGGGAAAATCTAAGATTTGGGGTGTCGGATGGGCCGGGGAGGGTGTCAGCGAAGTCTGGACAACCCCAAGCTGGAATGCCCGATTTTGGAAGTGAAATAAAATTTAAGTATTTTACAACAGCTGTTAGAGGTACCACCTCAAGGGAGAATATACAAGAGTATATTTAGTGTCAACTTATTTTTCGAGGTTTTTCAATTCTTTGTTGGATGATTTGAAGATAAAATAAAATATGTAGGCCTATTTCTAGACTATGAAGCGCAACATTTCACCTACAGGGATTACACCATATCGTATTATCTCTGCTAATTATTTATATTGCTAAATTTGACTGGCAAAAAATAAGCCTATGCATGGCATCATTGAATCGAAGGATTGAAAATGTGAACCAAGAGTTTAAATGTCACAAGATAAGGAGCACTAAGTCTAAAATTTAAATACCGAGGGTTGCAAATCTAATAAGGAAAAGAAAAGAATCATTATCACTATACGAACATAACATGCTAATCTATATAAAAAAGTTATTTTTTTTTAGAATTAATCTACACCGTACAAGGTGGGTCTTAACCATAACTTACGACTTTAGTGGTTAAAACTTTAAAAAGCAAGGAAAATATAAACAGACCGTGGCTGTGCACTAAATACAGCACGGTATACAGTATATTTCTATTTAGTATAATAAATTATAACAATCATAATTTATATAAATCATAAATATTATACCGTCATGCACATTTGATTATGCTTGGTACACATTACATTGTTTTTTATGAAAGTCCAAACCGAACATATTCGACGATAGAATAGAAACAAAGTTGAACAGGGAGACGATTATGATTCTCTGTGCAAATTTACAAAACTTTCGAAAAATATCCTGGCAACGATTCATCCCGCCATTTCAAGAAAATTCCGCGAAAACGAAATCGTAGAGTTTACTCGGCTCAGACTTAGCGGAGTGAGAATCAGAATTTGGATTTTTTATGCCATTTGTTAGACTAAGGTCACCAGTGTAGGCCTAGGCCTATGCTCATTTTTATCATCCATAATTCGTTTTTAATGTGAGTAAATACCGAATGAGATGATGAAGTTCTAGTTAGTGAATTGGCCAACAAGAAGGTTGTGTTGTTTACATTTCTCTGTTCATATTATTGGATTGTGCAGGCTATGCCTAGCCCAGGCTTGTCAAATTATATTCCTACCTAGGCCTAGGCGAGGCTTACTTTTAGCCTAGACCTGGCTTCCTGCCATACTGGGGAGCCAGCAGTGCATGATAAATTCCACACCGGAGAGTAGGCCTAGGTGGTAGTCCTAAGGCCTAGGCCTAGCCAACTGGCTTGAATAAATATGATTTTAAATTTTTTTTTTTTTTTTTAAAATTTGTTAAAATTACTGTGATGGCTCAGTGCAGAATTCTGAATCAAATGCGTTTTTAATCACATTATTATTATTATTAATATTAGGCTCTATAAAAAATATTAGCATATCACCCTATCTAGGGCCAAGGCTATATAGGGCCTAGACCTATATATATTTTTACAGTACCATAAGACATGCACGCGAGGGTGATAAACTAATCTTTTTTTTTTTTTTATTGGGCCTTACCTCTGGGCCTTACCTCTGGGCCTTACCTCTGCCAAGAAAACAGTGTTCCTGAATATGACGGCCGATTCTATTATTTTATTGAAGGGTATTCTACTGCACTCAAGAAAATAATGTGTTGTAATATGACTGGCGATTTCATTGTTTCATTGAGGGTATGCTGCAGTTTCACCCATTATACATGGCCTGCAGGGGAAAGATAAAATAAGCCGTCGAACAAGGCTTGGCCTAATCAGCTCGGCCTAGCCTAATTGGGCCAGGTTTAGCCAGCGAGCCGGTCGTATGCAACAGTTACTTAGGCTTGGACGGCTTGTACTACTCAGCTCGGCCTAGCCTAGCTTAGCTCAGCTGCTGGGCCTGGTCTATTTAGCACATTCGTTATATTCTTCAAATCTATCAAATGTTGCATTAAACTAAAGCATATTTTAAAGGGCCTATTTTGTTTTTCTGGCAAACCCCAGGCACAGAGTGGAGGTATGCCCGAACTGCTCTAGTTAATGTTAGTAATAATAGTATGAACAAGCAGTATATAGATGATGATTTTTTTTATATACTGTTGATATTAATTTAAATACATTTTGGTGTTATAATTATATATCAATAAATATTTTGGTTGTATGTGGGATAATTTACTACTAGATCTTCCAGTTTTTGTTGTTGTTGTTTTGCTATAGAATTTGAATTCCTTTCATAATTTCATGCATGTTCAGTTTCAGAATATGTCCTACTGTGTTAAGTTGATTCTTTCAGATGCGTAAAATGCTTAGCAAGTGTTCCTTTGATATTACAGTGTTTAAGTATATAATTGATGAAATTCCATTATTTTATGAAACACATACTGTGATAAGTTTTGCACTTAACTTGTAGTAGTTCTCTGTTGAAGCATTAATTTTGTATGTCACCTTGATTATATTGAGGAAAGATTGCTAATTTGTAAGTAAAAAGTGGTGAAATTTTACTTAAATGAAGTTAGTTATCGCTAGTAATTTTATCATCCCAAATCATGCTGTAAGACAATGATTTGTCATGTATTTATAGTTTAAAGATAGAACATAGATTTATACTGATATTGCCAGAAAGTAAATTATTCCCATTTTTGTAAGTATTAAATTATTAATTACTTGTCAATTCAAGCATTAAACAGTGTATCATTTGAATTTGTTTTCTGTTTGTGTGTAGATTATAAAAGATGGAGAAACGCAAGCTCTTTTCCACTCATGGTCCACCAGCCAAGAGAGCCCATGCCGACTTTGATGACGACCCTTCAACTTTCGAAGAAGAATTAGCTCACCTAGAAAAGTTAGAGTCAGAATTGACCTCATCCAACCATACAGTCAATGGTAGTGTATTACAGTACAGTCATGAAATATTGCACTTTTACCTGCGCGCAGGCTTCGTAGATACATCGTAGCCTGAAATAAACAATCTAACCTGTGCGCAGGCTTCGTAGCCTGATATAGACAATCTAAGATAGGCTACGCGAAGCGAACCTACAAAGCAAAAGCATGTTGTTTATTTGTATGTGCAGAAAGACTACTGCATCTTACTGGAATAAACAATGTATTGTTTGATAATTTGTGAATGGCAAACATGAGTTTAGACCGTTAATTTAAAGTATGGAACTGTTTTTCAATAAGAAAAACGTACACTTGACTTCATGGGAGTCT